GGAGTACCACCAGGAACCAGGCCTTTATATACCATTTTCCATTCCAAGACAAATGGGGATGGATGGCGAGTTCGAAAGCTTTGCTATGACACACCACTTCATCGAAATAGTTAGATCGTTAATAATGGAATGCATGCTCGAGAGCCTGGCAGGAGGTCGAGAGGACCCCGGGAAGAAGCAAAGACAAGGCATGACCCTGCCCTAGCGCGCATTTCCCCAGATTTTCACAGCGGATGTGGCCCGAATGGACTGCTGGTGTGCAGCCTGGCCAACCAGAAGGCTGCAATCCTGCCATGAGTCCCAGCTAAAGTTTTTTCCTTCGCTCTTTGTCCACTGGGTGGCTTTTTGGCTCTCCAGTTTCGGCAAAAAGCAAAAAGGTAACCCAAACAGATACAAAATTTTTTTTTCATGCGAAATTTTGAAGAGCGCACCAGGTGATCGATTCAAAAGGCCCAGTTCGCTCAGGTAGGGCTGGCTTTTGTCTTTGCTTTTTGGAACAAAAAGCTAAACGGAGCAACCGTGTGATGTCGTCTTCCAGCGCTCCTATGGTGTGTGCTTTACTCGAACCAACCTGTCATTTGTAGCGCAGAAGGAAAAATTTTCGCGCCGGGGCGGCGTTCCTCTGGGCATTGGATCGAAAGACTTGCTCGGTAGAATCCCAGCGGCCCGGAATGGAAGCAGTACTCGACAATTGTCAGCGAATTATGTAACTCTCTCACCACTACCCGACGATGCCGGGAACGGCCTTCTCGTTTTCGACTGACCTCTGGGCTCGAATTGCTTCACCAATTATTACTCAACCATCGTGGGTTTCTATATTTGTCCGGCGCTGCATTTTTTGCATGGTGTCGGTAGCTGGCCGGCCGCGACCCGGCAAACGCACGTGGAAAAGTTTCTTTCGAGGAGCGCCCTCCGCTGAAAGAAACCTGTAAACACCGAAAGACATCACGAAACGCAAATTGCTAAAAGCTGGCTCACCGTCAGCTGGGCATACGTCGGTCACGATCATGCAATTAAACGTCGATGTTTCGCTAATAATAATCAACAAATTAATTAACCAAAGACACTCCGTGTGACAATGCGAATCAACCATAGGATCCCCGAGGAGCCCGATTGTATATTATTACCATTTCAATTTGCATTCGTTGGAATAATAGTTTTATTAATTTGAACGCAAAATATTGGAATGCGGTAGTACAAACATTCATGATGTTCAAATTTTATATGAAATTTACAAGGCCTCTCAAGCAAGCTCCGCATAGAAAACGTAAGAATAATATCATCATTCCTTGTTTCTCAAAAGGTGCAATACGAAGGGATTCTCTCACCATGGAGCCTCTGGAGCTGTCTTGTCCCGGGGAACATTACGTTATAATTTTTTGGTGGAATTTTCTGCTCCCCGGCGGTGTCCGACAAGGCCGAGGGGTCAGGAATGGAAGTCCTTCGAAGTCTGAGAGTCAGGTGGCCCAGACGCCCTAACTCTGAAAAATTGGCCTCTTATGTAAAAGTTGGCTAAAAACAACCATTTCGAGACGCCGATTCTTGGGTGTAGCTCGTTCAAAACTTCCTGACACTCACACAATTTGGGTGTCAAGTCCGCCTTTTTCGCTAAAACTTGACCGGGGAGGTGTCCTCCGCGGAATCCAGAACTGGGTTCCCATAGGCAAATTTTGCCAAAGAGGCGGCGAATGGGTGAGCTCGTCTCCCAGAATGGACGGTTTGAGTATTTTCATTACCCCCATTTTATTCAATTGTAATTCTCATAAGAACTCCAAATTGCCCCTTTCGACAAGTTTTTTGCTTGGAAGATTCCTTTCCTGCCGTCTCACTATATTCGAAAACGCTGGAAAAAAGGATGACGAGGCAAATTTTACCCTTTCCCTTCCCTCACCCCTCGAAACGCGGAAGCCAAATTGAATCATGTCACGATGGGGTAATCAGATCCAAAACTACCGTCCACTCAATACCGTGAACCGACCAACCAGCGGCGAACTTTCGAGGGGTTTTCACGATGGCGAGATTTTATAGGTGGATTTCGACAACAGCACAACACATCGTCTCCAATGAGCTCCTGCCAACCACTTGGAATGCAAGGACGTCGAGAGCGTTTCATCAGGTACCGCTTCAACTTCGACGTGGACGAACCGCATGGAGTTTGACGGATCTCTACCTATTGTCCGAAATTAATATGGTTATGAAAAAAAAAATAATTTTCGACTTTAATCCCCACATTCCTGAACTTCTCTACGCGACGCTGAGCTGTTAGTTCCCCTGATCTGAGCTGGTAAATGTTTTGACGAGACAATTAATCCCTGAGCGTACATTACCACATTACCCAAATACGTAGACATGACATTCTGTTTCCACCTGTTCCACAGTCACGTCTAGCTCTAACAAAGTCGGCACACGCCTTCGGTAGGGATTCACATCACCTGGAAAGTCCGATCCGGATCCATCACGAGTTGAATGAAACTAACCAAGAGTGTGTTTACGAATGAACAATTGATGCGATCGCACTGCAATCCACGATTGTACAGATGGTTCAACAGAATTTTGTTAAAGCTATTACTGGTGTTGGGATCGTCGATGCATCTAATGTTCGAATGCTAGCTCCCCTTGTGCAGTTCTCCCATGTAAAATCTGGCTTTCCCTGCCAGTCAACAACCACAATGAGATCTACCAAGTGAAATACTCCATCAGAATAGTTCGTAATATAATATGCCGTTATATGTTAATATGCTCCTTCTCAGGCACAGTCGAAATCGCAACGCCTCATGAGCTCGGTTTACAATACGAATTGTCCAATTTATCCGTAATAAATTTTAATCACCGACCAGATCCCCGCTGAGTGCTGCGACGCCATCACCTATTTTTTATCGGCCTGACCCCGCCATGTTAGCCTCAAAATCCGATACCGACGCGAGACAAGACAAATGCGAGGAAAAAATTTTAGCGTTAAATTCCCCATAATATTTCTTCTTTCTGCGAAGCGCATGCATGGATTAAAAATTTTAGCGGATACCGAGATCCATCCAGCAGCATCGGATTTCCCTTTTCCCTCCCTCTCTCGTTTTCCCCAGATTTCATTTCACACCTTAAGCTTAATTTGCCAGGGGGAATTGGCTGTTTGCCCCCGAATTACCGCAAACGACCCAAGCTGCCGTACGGAAATGAGAAAGAGGAGAAGCCGAAGCCAATCAAGCGGAGTCGGTGCCTCACGGGTACAGTTTTCCTGGACGACTTGAAATTTACAGGACCATCGGAGAGCTCCTCTTTTGTTTTTTTCATATACCGTACGATCGCGCTATACTTTCTGAATTGAAAAGACGTGAGAACGTGGAGTTAACAGTTTGCGCCGAGTACAGTTGCTCTGAAACTTCATCGTGACAATTTGCTGCTAAGTGCTTTGGAATTCTCTACAACATGCCTCCCAAGCCAAAAGCAATCCGATCCGCGTGTCAGCTAGCAACTAATGCATGGATACCTCTCCTACCGAGCAAACTTGTGGTTACCCAAATGCCTGCTGCAGGACGTTGATGTGACAAAATTCAGTGGATTGCATGGATCCAGATGTTTTCTTCGACAAGCTAATGAGTTTTTGGCTAGTATGGAAAGAACGTGTTCAGACATATTTCGACTTCGGGCAAATGGGCTGCGCAATGTCCAGAAACTTCCTCAACAAATACAACGACACATCTTCATGCTCAGTTCTAGATGCCTGCACATGATACATCAAATAATCAACATTCCTGCACCATGAAAGGAGGAGTGATTTAATTTTTTTCCCCTCCTAACGTAACCTTAATATCAATCGAGTTCAGATCGGCCAGCTTTCAATTTTTCGCGCGTTCGGACATAACGGACCAAGCTACAAGGATTCTCCACATTTGGCAGTAGCTCTAGTGTTGCCAAATTCCACCACAGCAGCCTTGCAAGCTAACCTCTAGGCGTCCGAAGTTGATTGAAGGATTATACGTCTGTCGACCGTGGTAGCATTTCTTCCCGGTCCTGGATACGCCGCTCTGGGCAACTGGGGTCGATGCCTAGAGGAAATGTACCATCGTAGAATGAATTTTGACTCTACTTACTTGGATGAGAAGCTTAGCCGGTGAAAGAGCTAGTTAGTATGTTATTACGAAACAATAATCAAAACTCCACCCAAAGCCATCACGTTACAAGGTTTCGGCTTATGTCCTTCGGATATATTTGCTAATTCTCAACAAAAAGGGAACTTACCTTTGCTTTAAAGGGAACATGGGTATTCCTGATTACATTCTACTTCTCACAAATTTGTATTTGTGCTGATTTGGATTGAATAAATCTTACTCAAGGACTTGTAGTATCTAATTGATAATCGATTCTGTCAAGAGAGTTCCTAAGTACAAGTAGGATGTACACTGGAAGATGTTGAAACTCCTAACCATCAGAAAAAAATATAGTAATCTCGCAGTGCTAGATCTTGAGGCATGTCGTTGCTTTGGATGGTGTATACTCATGTTCTTCTCGGATTAATTGATTATCATGCATGAATTCTCAAATAGTCGCCGCTACTACCCGAGCAGCCGCCATGAATCAAGGCACTGCACCAAAATCTAAGACTTGAGGATTCAAGTGCACTAGATATATTAGTAATTCGCTACACCTTGAAGTAGTGCTGTACTGAGATGATTTCATCAGGCGAAGTGCGCCAGCCCAAAGAGTCCCCCTTCTGCTCCGATCCGTATTTTGAATTCTCTAGAGCTTTTGCACATTATAGCGAAGTGTCATTTAGAGATCGAGGGCTTGATTTTGAGCATTTTTTCAGGCCCTTTTCCCCTGATCCCATGGCGTATCTCGAAATATGACATTTTACTATCGGCGCTAGCCAGGCTCATCCTTTCTTAACGAACGAGCCTCTCCCTAGCGTCTCTATCCTAAAAGGGAAGTCGCTGTCAACTTACAGAAACCTCATGTAACGGTTGTCAAATAGGCGTTAGCCCCTGCCACCGGCTTCATACGCAGCCTCCATAGCTTAATCGGAAGAGCGCCAGACTTTTACGACATTGTCGAAATCTGGAGGTCGCCAGTTCGAGCCTGGCTGGAGGCGAGAAAGATAACGAAGGATTCATTAACAGTCTATGTCTTCTAGAAGACAAGGATCGTGAAGATTTTTTTTCCTTTGGGCAGGTATGAGTCGTATTGTGGTTGTGTTGCGTCCTGTTGAAATTCAAGAGTTATCTGCTCTTGTCTTGAGGCTAGATAGTGTGATGAATCCCCAGGTGAAAATATAGGAAAAATAAAAAAATAAAAATAAAAATAAAAACAACTCTATTTTTAATGGACCTGAAAAATAATCTTATTTAAGCTTTCTACTTCGAGAGCGATAGCTCTAGATCTATTTATATACTAACTTTATTCGAAGCCTCACAAAATGTTGTCATTCGAGACCTTATGTGGAATTGCAAACGATTGATTTCATAAACTCTATTCGATCGAAGATCGAAACTTACATCTTAAATTTACGTATCAAACTCGAACGCGCTCCGACCCATATACTTCCTTCGTGGCTCTTCACTACCAATTGACAAAACCTATCCTTATGATTACAAAATGCGGCATATGCAATGGATCAGAAAAAGTCTCAGGTCTCGGTTGCCACCATCTCGGTTTCGGGTGAAGGCACCACCCTATCGTTTCAAATACTTTACGTATACGCCAAAGTATCCTCTCGAGTTCTCTGGTCTAAAAATCGGGCAGATTGTAGCTGGTGAAAAGTGGGATTATCAGCTTGTTGAAAAGCTGGATAAGAGATTCGTATATGCTGAAACATTTAAAGCAAAAGTTCTACCGAAATGGGGATTGTTGGAACATCCGGAGTGGTGTGTGGCCTCGTATATAGTGATTATCAGTCCTCTTGGATGAAACTGTACTATGTACCGACCTATACTTACCTTATGGTGATATTTTCCAGGGCCGTCGTGAAAGCAGGGAATGAAGGAGTCGGTCCGTCCGTGCGAGCGTTCGGCCGGGAATATAATGCTTACCAATTATCCACTATCGCTTCCAATAGTCTATTCCGTTCAATGTATGATCTTCTGAGCGATCCCAGGGCCCTCGACGCCGATGATGAAGAATGGGAACCAAGTGATAAAGACCTCCCGCAATGCCTAGCCTTTGAATGGTTGGACTATACGCTAGCAGATCTGCCTCTCGATCTTGTACAAAATTATGATTTCATTTGGAATATTATGAATACTATTCTGCAAAGTGCAGTCGCACTCAATACCAAGGGCTATGTCAATACATGTAAGTTTCTCTCTATCTGCCAGGCTATATATTGTGCTCTATAATACTCCCTGTAATTAGAAAACATATATCTGTTTTAAAAATTACTAACAAATCTTTTCAAGATATTGAACCAAGAAGTTTATTAGTATCCGATGCCAGTAGCACCCCGGTGATGAAAATTGCTGATCTACACGGAGGTGAACCACTCTTCATATAGATATTCATATTTCCTCTTAATAACACAGCTGACAGCTATATATTCTAGTGTTCAAAGAGGGCGACATTTTGTATCCTGTGCCAACACTCACTAGGTTCTCATGCCTAAAAGCCCCAGAGCACTTTCTAGGCTACCCTGCTGTTCAAAGTTGTACCGTATGGTCCCTCGCAGCCATGATATTCCAGATTCTTAAGCCCGAAGCATTTACTCTGCCACCAGAATTATGCAGTATGGCACTCCTGTTAGAATGTGAAAGTCGCATGATTGCGTACTTTATGAAATTGTTCCCTCACTGGAAGTTTAGTATTGGCCCATGTAATAATATTTACGATAAGAACATGTATGAGCGGAGACTCGAAGAGGCGGAAATTTTTGTTCAAACTTCTGAACCGAGCATCGGAAATGTTTTGCCGTTCAGTGCACAAATCGAAAGGATGGATATCTCGCGAGAGTTGAGGAATCTTTTATCTATGATGCTTATCCCGGATGCCCAAAGTCGACCGTCAGCTTCGGATGTTTTAAGATCGGATGAGTATCGAATATTCTCGGAGTCTACTCATAGGCTTATGCATGCTCAAAGCATTTATCCGGACGCATCATTTTCTGCATAAGCTCTCTCGATGGCCATTTTCAGAAGATATTAAATTAAAACAGTTACCAAAAGGGTGAGATTTGATGCCGATATTTTTTCCTTCGAAAATATTATATCGACAGATTGCGACAAAGATATTCAATTTGGTCGAATTGATGAATTTCCACAACCAAAAATATGTCAGTTATATGCATCTAAAGCTCTTCAATATATTTAAGGAGTCAATTGCGCCTCTTAAGCCTTAATCATATCATAAATTTGTCATTTTTTTGCCTTACCTCCTTTTTTGTTCTTGTTAACAACACGTCCCCGCACCATAACAGTCCATGTACTACTCGCGAAAGAAATAATCTCAATGAAAATGTACAAAAGCTTAGTCTACAAGTTTGATGCCCATATATAACCTGACTCATGAATACGAAGTTTCAAGGTGATACCCCGCATACTAGTAATAAATTAAACACCACTAAGAGTGAGAGACATCTGGCGCTGGCATATAGTTTTATAGAAGAGAACGAATGGCCTTTAAAGGCCTAGAGTAACCTTACATACTTCAATGCGAATGAACCATCCATGAATAAATATAATTGTCGTACTTCGAATAGTCGCAAATTTAAGAATTAGAGACTTGATCTCTATCTTGATATATCATCGATATACTACGGTTAAAGATTCGACTCCTCAAGGATCAGCGTAGATTTTGAAATAAGGTTTAATACACCGAAATTTTCGCAAAAATATATGACAAAGATTTGTCTTGTAAACTATCAAAACATGGAAGTAAATTTGGAATATAGATGTAGTATCTTGGAAATCCTTTGACCTCTTTATCGATGCATCGAAAATTGTACTCATTTTATCAAAAAGGACTGTTTCACATGTATATACCCATGTTGCCAACAGAAAAGAAGAATTGATGAACATAAAAAGTCTCAGATAACTTTGGGCCAGCTACTATTTAGTGATAATCGTGAGAAAATAGATTAAAATTATATGAAATAGCGGTGAAGATATGGCGAAATTACTTCAAGCTATTCCGAGCCGCAATGTTAGTCTAATATGAGCTACGAACGAAGCAATTCCCAAGATGCCTCGAACTCCTTTTATACCAAAAGGCCTACTTCTGGGCAAGATTGTCAATACCGCCACAAGAAAGAGAATCCCCGTGGACCTCGTAGAGGAAAGTCCAAAGAGCGCATGGCGGAGGATATCCGGGATTCAACATCCCCCCAGTTATTTATCCAAAATTCTTCGCGACGTTAGAGATGCAATCAACTTGCAAGTCCCGTTTGGGAAGAAGCTGGGAAGAGTTAAGTCAATTGGGGTCGAGTATGTATTAAGAATTTGGGAAGTCGATATATATAAGTTCGTAATTTCAATGGTTGGATATGAATTTCTGATATATAGTCTCAAAATATAGGGAGATGCCCCACCGAAGCCAAGCGACCCGGCTCAGCACATTACTGCTGTCGGTCTTGGCGAAAGGGGAGGAATTATCAAAAGGGTTCACCTGCGTTGAACAACTTCCCTATGGTATGTGCCGATATATTCGTTGTATATGTTAGAATGGCGATAGCTTTCGAGACGAAGCAGCTAGGGATTAGCGGTTCTTTTATTTCAAAAATTTTTTGATTCTGATATTGTCAATTTGATTAGCACTCCATGCCAAGCAGAACCTATTCAATCAGTGTTCCCGATGAACGAGCTCTTTTCGGCCTCAGCCTGCGGCCGTAAAACCATTTCCGGCGGGTTGGGTGGTAAGATTTCGAGATGCGATGCGTTTGGGTTTAGCGCTGGGGTGGTGCATTACGGGCTGGTTTTGACTTTTTGTATATAATATTTGTTGGATACCAGAAAACTTTTATTTCGCGCAAACTGACCCCTAAGAACAAATACGTTTGAATATTGATAGTAGGGCTCTTGCTGGGAAATTGCAATCCTGCATTAAAATTAACCTTTTCTCTGTTATATCCGGATATCCTCAAGTTTTACCAATATTCTAGCTTGGAGTGGGTAGAGATTGAGAGCGATTTTGTGAATATTATTGGACAACGATCTAGTCTAGATTTATATCTTGAGTCTTTTAGATTTTGAATTGAGGTAGACGATCTGATTTATTTATATCCTGCATACGAGAAGTTCAATACCGCGCAAATTCCACATGCGTTCAATTCGGCGGAACACGTTAAAAGAACACACCTAAATTGTGTTGCGCACTTGAAAATCTTCAGTCACCCCAGTATGATATGCAAGAGGGTTAACTAAGGTTTTCTAAAAATGTCAGCTGCAATTCGCGATCCAAGACATGTTGCTCCACTTTTTTAGAAATAACGTGTCAATGATAGTTTGCGTCACAAGTTTGATTTCGATATCTGATGCTAAAGTTAGGGCCAATTTCTAATTTAGCTAATTTAGGTTGTATGTAAACTATTTTTATCTCAGATTGTGACAAATCCTACATTCTGCCATGGCATTTTGCTTCGAAGAATAGTATCTCGAGGAAACGATAGAGGAGATCGTTATATCCCACCTCCGCAGATCAGGAACGACGAGCGTCACTTGTGGAAACGGTCACTATGATGGACTCGTATATGTATATTCGAATATATTCATATTTGCTCCACTGTCCATTTCGTTGTTTTCACCACTCAATGGCCTAAAATATTCCATCAATCAAAGCTAGTTTACCAGGCGAAACTCCGTCAACCCGCAACTGCAATATATAGCTATATAATTGGGATGATACTACTATGCATCAAAATGGAGGGACCAGATCCTATTCATTCCAAAGCTTGACTCGTTTTTTCACAACTATTTTTCTAGCAATTCACATTCTCTCAAGTCTCTCTCTTGCAAGAGCTAATGTTGTTACTACAACAATATTCAAGACAGTCATTGATGCGGAGACTGTTACGTATCAGTTGGATGGTCGAGATCTTCGGGGGGGGGGGCTTCAACTGCCATTATGCAGCCAGGTAGCATGGACTCTGGCATCCAATATCTCTGATTC